TATATATATATATATATATTTAAAGCTGCTCATGTTTCCTGGCTGATAATGAATGGATGAATGAATATATGTAAAGGTACGCAATGGGTTTTTTTTAATAATTATTTTGTTCTTTCTATGTGGAGTTTCAGTTGGGAAGCAGTGAAACTAAATCTGAAACTCAGCTGTGCAGCCTGTTTAGAAGCAGTGCTCCATTCAGTCAACCACCCTGGCGTCACTCTCACACTGTTGCTTCATAGGAGAACGTGTGTGACATGAGGTTGAGCTTGTTCCATCAGCAGTAGTGTGAATCCAGCCAGTGTGCAACTTCATAAACAACGTGTGGAGTCTTATCACCAAATCTTTAAAAACAAAATGTTGACCAGAGCGGTCATCATTTTAGGCCAAGTGAAATTAACCCTCGAGCTTTCCAGTGCTCTACTAAAATCTTAAACTCAATTTCCTAAAAACTCCTCCATGCAGTAGCATCAAGTTATTAATGCATTAAAAATATACATCTAAATATTAGTTCTTTTTTATTTTCAGGAGATCCTGTTTTCATGTACAGCTTAGGTGAAGCTGTTTAGTCAGTGTGAAAAGTGAATTGATGTGTTGAAATCATATGGCAGCAGAATGTGATGTTATCTGGACAAATCCATAGAAGGACTTAAAATAAACATCCTGTGTAAAACAACTTAAGCCTTGAGTTCAGGTCTTACCATAAAGCCTAGTTCATAAATTTTAAATGTCTTTTTTTTGGGGAAAAAAAAAAACAAAAACAAACAAACAAAAAAGGTCCAAATATTTAGAGCTGAAACTCACACCATCCGCGCCACCACCTGTGGTTTTGAAGTTTACCCCGAAACTGTCAGAACGGGCAAGTTGCGCATCACTCGGGCTTGCCGTGATTGGCAGTTCCATTCATGACCCGGTTGGTGTGGAACGCCCATGTCTGAGCCTGCAGAACTTTAGGCAGCCTCTTGCCCTTGGTGTAGGCGTGGTACCAGAAGTTGAGGAAAAGGAACAGGAAGATCAGGCCGTACAGACCAATGATGTACACAAAGATGGGGAACTGGTAGGGGCAGTCCTTCATGAAGAAATACTGGGAGATGTGGGTAGTCACCATCGCAAACTGGATCTGTAGCAACCAGAGGGGAATGAATGTTGACTCAGCAGAGATTCAACAGCACCTCTTTGTTATCGCCAGAGCACTGAACTCACCAGCTGGATTGTAGTGAGGTATTTCTTCCACCAGAGGTACTTCTGATATTTGGGGCCCATAGCACTCAGACCATAGTAGGAGTACATGATGACGTGGACAATGGAGTTAAGCAGAGCATGAAATGTTCCAAGGCCACCTGAAACAAAAACGACACAATCAGAAAAGAAATTTCATATATATATATATATACATACATATACACATATATACATACACACATATATAGATATACATATATATATATATACATATATACACACACAAATATATACATGTATATATGTACACATGTATATATACACACGTTTATGTATATACATACATATATACACACAGTTATATATACACACATGTGTGTATATGTATGCATATATGTATATACACATATATATGAATGTGTATATACATACATAAAAATACATATACATGTATAATACATGTATATGTATAAATACACACACATATATATGTATACATACACACATATATACATACACATACAGTACATTCACATACTGTATATACATTCACATGTATACACACACACACATATATACATACAGTACATACATATACACACACACACACATATATATATATATACATATACATACAGTGGGTATGGAAAGTATTCAGACCCCTTTAAATGTGTCACTCTTTGTTTCAGTGCAGCCATTTGCTAAAATCCAAAACGTTCATTTTATTTCTCATTAATGTACACTCAACACCCCATCTTGACAGAAAAAAAACAGAAATGTAGACATTTTTGCAAATTTATTAAAAAGAAAAACTGAAATATGGTCATAAACATGGTCATAAGTATTCAGACCCTTTGCTGTGACATTCATATTTAACTCACATGCTGTCCATTTCTTCTGATCCTCCTTGAGATGGTTCTACTCCTTCATTGGAATCCAGCTGTGTTTAATTAAACTGATTGGACTTGATTAGGAAAGGCACACAGCTGTCTATACAAGACCTTACAGCTCACAGTGCATGTCAGAGCAAATGAGGTCAATGGAACTGCCTGAAGAGCTGAGAGATAGAATTGTGGCAAGACACAGATCTGGCCAAGGCTACAAAAAAATATCTGCTGCACTTAAGGTTCCTAAGAGCACAGTGGCCTCCATAATCCTTAAATGGAAGACGTTTGGGAAGACCAGAACTCTTCCTAGACCTGGCCGTCCAGCCAGCTGAGCAATCGTGGGAGAAGAGCCTTGGTGAGAGAGGTAAAGAAGAACCCAAAAATCACTGTGGCTGAGCTCCAGATGCAGTGGGGAGATGGGAGAAAGTTCCACAAAGTCAGCTATCACTGCAGTCCTCCACCAGTCGGGGCTTTATGGCAGAGTGGCCCGACAGAAGCCTCTCCTCAGTGCAAGACATGAAAGCCCACAGAGTTTGCCAAAAAACACATGAAGGACTCCCAGACTATGAGAAATAGGATTATCTGTTCTGATGAGACCAAGATTGAACTTCTTGGCATTAATTCTAAGCGGTATGTGTGGTCCAGAGTGCTCAGGACCTCGGACTGGGCCGAAGGTTCACCTTCCAACAAGACAATGACCCTAAGCACACAGCTAAAATAACGAAGGAGTGGCTTTGGAACAACTCTGTGACCATTCTTGACTGGCCCAGCCAGAGCCCTGACCTAAACCCAATTGAGCATCACTGGAGAGACCTGAAAATGGCTGTCCACCAACATTCACCATCCAACCTGATGGAACTGGTGAGGATCTGCAAGGAAGAATGGCAGAGGATCCCCAAATCCAGGTGTGAAACACTTGTTGTATCATTCCCAGACTCATGGCTGTACTAGCTCAAATGGGTGCTTCTAATCAATACTGAGCAAAGGGTCTGAATACTTATGACCATGTGATATTTCAGTTTCTTTTTTAATAAATTTGCAAAACTTTCTACATTTCTGTTTTTTTCTGTCAAGATGGGGTGCTAAGTGTACATTAATGAGAAATAAAATGAACTTATTTTAGCAAATGCTGCAATGAAACAAAGTGACAAATTTAAAGGGGTCTGAATACTTTCTGTATACTGTATATACATACACACATTAAAAAAAAATGGATTTGAATAGTTACCACCAGCAAAACGAACACCGAACCACCAGGTGAAAGGCATGATGGAGTGATGGTAGACATGGAGAAATGTCACTTGGCTGTTTTTCTTCCTCAACACAAAGAAAATCTGGGAAAAACAAAACGAGGAACAAATGTTCATAAAGCGTAAGGACTAACACTTGACAGACACAGACTATTGGACTTAATTCATAATAATCAATAATTACTGCTCACCGTGTCCAACATCTCGATGAACTTTGAGAAGTAGTAAAGCCAACACACAGCCAACATCTGGAGAAGATACATTTTCAGTGTTAACAGTGGAGACAGTTTTTCATACATTTTTTACTTTTGTTATTAGGGTTTACACCTGACTTACCCTCAGGGCCTGTGGAGAATTCGAGTAGTCAACCAGGTCGCAACGAAATGAATATCCTGTGCCCCATCCTGACATTACAAAGGGCCTGTGGAGAATTCGAGTAGTCAACGAGGTCGCAGTGAAATGAATAGCCTGTGCCCCATCCTGACATCACAAACTGAAAAAAAAAAAGGAAAAAAAAAAAAACTTCCGCCCTTTTGGGAAACAAGGCTTTTTTTTTTATTGTTTTTACTTAGAACAGAACTAAATCAACAGCAGTGTGAAATGCTTCTCTTCACAACCTGGACATAAAAAAAATAAAATAAAAAAAAAGCCTGTAGTGATTTAATATTCATAGCCACCTCAAAAGTACTTTGTGGAGTAGAGAAATTCAATCTGTCAGTCAGGTTTAACCATGAGTAAGATGCTTCTTCTTGAAGCAAACAACTATTGGCAGGTGACGACAAAAAAAAAATAAAAGCTTTCACTACAGCTGAATAATTGAAGTGTGAAAATGATGAGTATTTTGTGATCAAATGCAGTGACTCACCTCATAGCACATGTACAGCGACAGCACGACCACAATGAAGTTGTAAACAACCAGAACACTTTTCAGGTCAAAGGCCTTGCGATTCTCCATTATCTTTGGCCCCAGGGACGTCACAAAGTAAATGTATGCCACGATGATGAAGGTTTGTGGGAAAGGGGACGACATGAGCAACCAGTCGTTTGTCCGAGAGTCTGACGCAAGAAAATTAAAATTACAGCTCGAGACAAGTAGAAATGAAATTGAAATGTATTAGTGTGTCAAACAGTGTGTCTGAAAAGTTTTGACATTGACCCACCTGCATTTTGAATTAAGTCTTTATAAAGCAACGTGACTGAGGATGTTAAATTATTTATCTGCATTTTCAGATGGGTCCTTGCAGTTCACCTGGAGAGAAAAAACAAACAGCTCAGATTAGTGGTTCCTCATTTTCACACCCGGACTGAAGGTATGATATGATCCACACAGACAATAATAAATGAGTTCCAAAGCGAAAAGCACATTTTTGACAATTCACTGCAACTGAAAAGTTTTTAAATCCACACAACTGGTAGGAGGCCAAGATGGAAAAATGTCAATAATTGAAACTATTTCCAATTTGACATTTAAAACAACTGCAGTTAAACCTCAACTTTACATTTTAATTAATAAAACTGTGAAAAAAGTCAAAGAAAGTCAGAGAAAGATGCTGCCACTGTTTGCATCTGAATCAGACAAAGCCTTGAGTGTACTGTCAAGGAGAACAATGAATAGATGCTTCTGTTACCTTAGAACCGACAGTGACCAGGGTTCACTGAAGGAACATTTTCATAAGCACAGCGTTGACACTGTCCTTGAGATTCAACATTTAGCACATCTTACATGTTTCAAAATGTTTGACTCAATCATGGACAACAATGAATGATGTCAGTGCACAAGTAAGTTCAGTGAACAGTGAAAGAGATTAAAACACAGCATGAGCTACAACAGTGTTGGTACAGACAGGTGTAGCTAAACTAGGCCACAATAGACTACAGGTTAAAAAAAATGTTTACAGTGTAAATGCACTTGGTAAAAAACACACAGCCAATAGAATTGTAGCATGTGAAATACAGGCCAAAATGTGAAATGGAAAAACATATCAAACATCAAACATTGATGAAATGTGACTAGTTAAACTGCCTTATTCACACAATTAAAAAAAAGTCTCACTAGTTTAAGTAAGAACAATAAGCTTAAAAAAAAAAAAAAAAAAAAAGGCCAAAACATTTAAAATTTCCAGCACTCGTTACATATTTCATCAGGCTGTGAGATTTAAACAAGTATGTTCTAATTTCTCTACATCTATATGAAATGCCTAAATTTAACAAGCTAATCCACAGGTGAGTGTTGCCTTCAACAATCACTTAAATTATAGTCTTCATTGTCATGGTAACACGGGGAGACACCAAAATTGAGCCTCTGCTTTTAATCCATCACCCAGGGAGCAGTGTGGGGGGATGGTGCCATGCTCAGAGCACCTCAGTGGTAACTTGGCAGCTGGTGGATTAAAACCTGAAGCCTTCCGGACCCAAGTCCTCTTCCTTAACCACTAAGCCACCACTGCCCTTGTCAAATAAAGAAGTCAAACCACAGTAACACAATTAGCACATTACACCATGTCTGCTACCTGCAGACACAAGCTTACATGACAGGTTTTCAAGGTGCATCCACCTAAATGCAACAGGAAGCTAACAAAGGGAAGAGCAATGACTGAAAAAAGGCATTGGGGAGTCTATTTGTAATGAGGACATAGCAAGTCCTGACACACCGCTAATCTAAAGTCAGGGACCCTGCTGTAAAGCTGCTTCTCCCATGATGCCCATAACCCTAACCCACAGTTCATAGGCACCATGTAGTAAAGTGTCAATGCTAAGTGTAGACAGTCATCAACCAGTGTTTAACACACTGGTTTGTTGCGACATGACAATGTTGCGCCCCTAGTGGTGCTATTCCAGTGGAAGTTCAGTTGAGAAACCGTACTATAATTGACAAAAATTAGTCACCAGTTTGGGTGTAGAACAGAAATATGCGTACTTGCTTTTAAGGTTAAAAAAAAAAAAAAAAAAAAAAAAAAAACTTAAGTTAACTTTAATGTTACACAACATTGTATGGCTTGTCATTTCTTAACGTTACAGATTAGCTGAGATTGACTGTAAGTCACTTTAAGAATAAAGGTACACATAAAAAGTAAATGTTTAATTAAATGGAACTGGCTCACACAAGCATTTATTTAGGCTGCTGTTGAATCATTGTGAGGTTGCAAGAATGACTAAGTCAGGAAGTAAGGTTCCTATGCAGACATTGACAAGCCAAAGTACATTTTTGATTACATTTAAAACGTAAATGTATATTTTAGTGTTATGAAAAATATTTAAATTTACTATAATCTTAACCTTTTCTATATTTTGACAGAGTAGACCAAATGTATACAATATTGCTTAATAGCAGGTTCTTTTTACAAAGTAAAATAACAGAAAAAGGCATTTGACATGGCTGACGTCACAGGAAGAAGTATAGCGCAATAATTCGGAAGAATTTTGATTTATGCATGCCCTTCTATTGAAACTAAGTTTCGGCAAAAGTCGCCCTCTGGTAGATACTTCCGGGGCCTATTTACAGGGGCGTTCTCCCCGCTTCCGTTAATTGGTTTGAAGTCAAATTAAATAAATCAAGCAACAAGCCATGTTACGGGAACAATGTCGAATCCTTTTATTAAAAAAAAAAATAAAAAAATAAAATCAATTTTACAACATGACTGCCAAGACAACGACCTAAAGAAAAGTGATTCTTTTCTACCCTGATGTTTTGTGGAGCTTTGTGTTTCCGTTAAAAAGGGTTTCCCCATTTCTAGCCCCCGTTTCATCGGCAGAAAGGCAGAAAAGTATCAGGGTAAATTTAAAAGGTTTGTCTCATTACCGCCATCACTGTGGAGCTCAACGGGTGTGAGAGCATTAATTAATCACAGACACGCGTTTGTCTCGCACGGGGTTTTAAAAGATCTTAAAGAACTTTGTTTAAATATTTTAAAGTACCAACCTTCTTAAGCTGCTACAGCTTCTGGGGCGTTGAAAAAACGACACCAAACTGGTATCTTCTTGTATCCGCCTGTGAACACTTCACCTGACGTTAGTCGTGGGTGTGTCGTCAGCTCTCCTCACGCGCTGACCGGTCGCTCTTTATGAGACAAATGGGCGTGTCCACGCCCATTGTCATAAATGGGCAAGCAGGAAATGTGTGAAACGACACTGAAAATACTGTACATGCCAATCTACATAGGTAACCAATGATTAATTCCAGTAAAATTCACTGTATGTTCTAAAAAAAACATACAGTAAGGTCAAATTATTAGCTCAACAGTATTTCGCTAAAGTACTTCCCACATATTTTTATACAGACTGGAACAGAGCAAAACTTAGCAATGTAGATTAATTTATAATGTATACAACGCCCTGCATTGAACGCACAGTTAAAATATTTCAGAGGAAAGCTAACAAATGGTGTGTGTTAAAGATTCAGCAGAAACCAGTCGGGTGTGTTGTGGTCCTCAAGTTTATTCTTCTTGTGAAACCTTCTCAAACTTGACATACATCTTCAAAAATTCACACTGTGTTTCTCTTTCAAGACTCAATAGTTTTCTGTGTACATTTTTTCTAATCTTTTTTTTCTAACTCTGCCAGTCTGATTAATTCCACAAAGTGTTGCGAGAAAGTCGCAAAACCAAAAAAGGTTTCTCTATGTATACTTAAGTACACTTCCAAATAGCACTGTTGTGTTTAAAAATGCAGGTCAAAAAATGTGTTGTGCTGTTTGAAGTACTGAGAAAGAGCTAAGGATTGTAGCAATTTTAGCACTGGCATTAAATCAACACCAAGCAGTTAGCCAGAGAAAGGACAGATATTTCAATGTGGCTCGTTCCTGTAACTTTCACTGAGATCTGTTTAAAACCCTGAGTGACGACCCAGTAAGTGAAGACCCATCTTCAATCAACCTGGAAGGGCACATGTCACCCCCCTGCTCATTGAGCTACACTGACTGTCCATAGCTGCCGGCATCAAATTCAAATCAATTTTGCTAGCCTCAGAGTGCTTAATGGGTCTGCTCCTACCTACATAAGTACTCTGATAAAGCATTATGCCTCATGATCTCTCCGCTAGTCAAGGGAATGTCATCAGGCCGTCCCAACACCCCACACAAGGCAATCCAGGCTCTTTTTGATGGGTCATTCCACGCTGGTGGAATGACCTACCAAGCACTACCAGAATAGGGGTGTCTTCAAGAAACTCTTCAGAGCGCATCTCCTGCCCTAGCACTTTCCTGTCTGCCTCTACCCCTACTCTCCCCCATCTCCTTCAGCACTTGTTTTCTAACTAGTGGTATCCTTTCAAGAGTTCCTTTATGTAACCCAATTGTTAATCCTCATCTTGTAAATTGCTTTGGATAAAAGCATCTGCTAAATGCAAAAATGTAAAACAAATGCTAATTTCACCCAGGAATAATAAGAGCTCTTCTATATTTACAAAATGTTACAAACAAAACGTGTTCGGAGTTTGCATTGTTTGTCTGATGTCAACATGTGTGTACTTTAAAAACAATCTTACTTTTGTCACATAATTTGCATAAAACCAAAGCAGTTTTCTGATGCAGAGGGCCATGTTTTTTTTTTGTTTTTACATTCATTTAAAATAAATCTTACAAACCATACAATGTTTCATCAACTTTATAAAAGGAAACATTCTTTATATTAACTTGAGTGGCGTGGCGCTTTGGCCCAGAGGCAATGTCTCTGTCATTGGTGTGGAACCCCAGGGTTCACCTCCTGGACAAGTTCGAATCCCGGTTAGGGCGGTTAATACCTTCCAGTGGACTCACCACCCGCAGGAAGGTTTGGGGGGTTGGTATGGTGCAATGTGATTTGGGTGGCGACTGCTGTCCCCGCGACCCGGTAACGGATAAGTGGATGAAAATGGATGGATGGATGGAACTTGAGTAGCGAATTATTTACACAGTTCAATTCAATGTTGTGGCACAACTAGTTAAAAAAAAAGTTTGTGTTGTTTATACACAAATTCATCAGCATTAATCTTCATCGCTGCTCCAAGCATCCTGAAAGGCAGGGTTCACTGGCAACCTGTCAAAGAAAAGGATATTTTGAAATTAGGATATGCATTACTTAATTATATTACCAACCAATACTGAGAAATCCCTAAACAAAGAATGGCATAAACTTTTGGCAGAAAACACCCAATACAGCTCTGTGCTAAAATAACTCCATTTTGACTAAGGGTAATGACAGCTAATGCTGCTGAGGGCAGGTCAGAAAAATCCAGCTGAGCAGGTAAATGAGGAAGCCATTTGGAATTGAGTAAGCCTTACTACAATGTTGAAAAGACATGACGGAGTGACACGCAGAGCTACGTCAGCTGTCAGTTAACAGTGACAGGCCACGATAGGAATTAACCCAGATGACACATTCTTTAGCTACGATTTCAATTCTGCACAAAAATGAATAAAAGGTAAAAAAAACAAACAAAAAAAAAAGTTAACATTATACAGAGACTGCGCTGAATCCTCATATATGCGGGCCATACTGTAGAAAATCAGAAAATATATTTTAAAAACTTTTTTTTGCCTTTTACCTTATTATTTGCGTTGCTGGACTTTTCCTCCACATCTGATACACGGAGAACAGGAACCCACGCCAAGACGTTACAGTCTTTCCCTCCTATGTACAGCTCTAATATGCTAAAAAGGATAAGAAAGTGCAGAGGGAATCCATCTTGCTGATGCATCATTTCTTTAAAACACACAGTGAAGAAGGAAGAAGGAGAAGAATAAGGGACCGGGTAAAAACTGTCAATGTTATTTTCCACATCAGACAGAAACAACATGAACAAAACACATTTTCTGGACAAAGAAAGACAAGCCAACCAAACTGCATTCTTCTGTCTCACACATTCACACACACCCTCTGTCTTACATTGGATGTTTATGTTGCCACATACCATGGTTTATGTTGCCCAAATTTTATAGTGGCCCAGGCCCATTAAATATTAGATTTGATTAAGCCAGGATTTTACGTATTCCACAATTTAATCTTTTAGAGGGTTTGCACAAGGTTTGTCTTTATTTTTCATTTAAAAAAAAAGTTCCATAGTTTTTGCTACAGCTAGCAAAGAGCAGCCCTGTAGGTGGCACTGGTGGACCAAGTTTGGGCCACAGCCCCATGGACGTTGATTTTCTTATGGCTGTAGTCCTCAAAATCAGAAGACAGTACAACTACTGTAATACATAGTCGCCCAGGTAACTGGCAACACGACCGCGATGACTAAGGAGGTTTGGATAGTTTCTTTGTCACTTAAATCAGTACATTAGAGAGGCAACTTGTGTCTCATTGTGTTTACATCTGAATTTGCATTTATAGTAACAGATAACAGCATTTATAGAAGCAGACACTTCTCCATGTTATCTGTCCACAGAGAAACGGCTCATTTAAGTGTCGTGGAAATTGCAAATTAAATGGCTCTTATTGCAGTGACAATGGCTGAGCAGTTAAAAGAAAATACAACAGAACAAGGTCAGTAGACAGACAATGTAATATAAAATCTCAGAGGAAAGAAAACCATAGAAAGAGAGAGAGAGAAATAAAAACAAATACTGCATTTGTATTTGACAAGGAATACAATCAAAGAAATGCAGGAAATAGTCTGCACTTGTTTGTATCACCTGATAGTCTGGGTGGAACTCAAACTCTGGGCTGCAGCCACATGACACCGTGATCTGCAGCTTCTTATGACTCTCGTTGCAGACTTTTCCATAATTCACCTGAAGCATGAGAAGCAGTGAAATGCAGAAAATTGGTCATGTCAATATACTGTATAGACTGTAGTTACTAATACTGATAAAATATTTTTTCAACTAATTTACTATTACTATTATTAACTTATTTTTTAAAAATTATGATTAAAACGTCACACAAACTTACATAACTGTACCCTTTTATTATCAATATGAATTGAAAGTTTAGAAATATTACTGCTCTGCTATAACTCAACAGGTCCATATATTGTCAGGATTGTCAGACCTTTTGGACCCAAATGCAACACACTAAGGCAAAAGCTCTTTCCAAAAGTTTATTGCAGGATCAGCCGGTATAAATACTGTGCCAATACTTTTTAAACTGAAGGAGTCTTTCAACAAAGGCACCTCCACTTGAAATAAAAGGAAGTCTCTCAAATAAACAGGCGTCTTGATAATGAGTCTTTAAACAAAGGAAGTATCCGCTTGGAGCAGAAAGTCTCTTGAAAAAACGTGATCTCCGCTTTGAGATCCAATGGCTGCCGCAGCTACTCTTACTTGCTAGGGAATCCCGCGGGAGTGACGTCACCGCGGCGAATTCCCTCTGGACAGCGGAGCCAAGTCAGGGAAGGAACGGCTGAGCAGACAACTGCTGGAATTCTCCTCGAAAAAAAAAACGGCGAGAGGACTCTCGTCCACAGAGCCGATGAGACTGGCCGTGGATCGTCACAACAGGTAACTGTAGTACTGCAGGGAATCTCCACAACTGGAACTGGACTCACTCATCAGCGACAGCCGGTGAGCGCAGATGGGGCCAATTGCTTGATTGCAGCGCTGCAGCAGGTATGACATATATGGTGACTCGGAAGGTTTAATTAAACGAATGCTTATCAGTAAAGAATAGTAAACCACCTGTTTTTGACACCCCAGACAGGTGTGTAGTGTTTTTATTTTTCTTATGATGTATAAATACTCCCTGTCTCAAACTATGTATGAACCTGGTATGAAATAGTGTTTCTAATAATATACACTATATTACCAAAAGTATTCGCTCACCTGCCTTGACTCATACTATGAACTGAAGTGTCATCCCATTCCTAACCCAGAGTTCAATATGATGTCGGTCCACCTTTTGCAGCTATTACAGCTTCAACTCTTCTGGGAAGACTGTCCACAAGGTTGAGGAGAGTGTTTATAGGAATTTTTGACCATTCTTCCAAAAGCGCATTGGTGAGGTCACACACTGATGTTGGTGGAGAAGGCCTGGCTCTCAGTCTCCGCTCTAATTCATCCCAAAGGTGTTCTATCGGGTTCAGGTCAGGACTCTGTGCAGGCCAGTCAAGTTCATCCACACCAGACTCTGTCATCCATGTCT